TAAAGTAGACTCGAAAAGGCTGAGCATTGAAAAATTCATAGAGTCAATAAATACTGGAAGAAGAAATGTAGCAGCAATTTTTTTGTTTTTTACTCGACCCTACACAAAATACCGTATACGTAAAATGAAAAATAGTGTTTGTATAACAAAGAGTGTTTAAAAAACTTTGGTAAGTGAAAGTGACTAATAAGTGAAATATTGTTTATCGAAAATAAAATATAAACGACAAAATGGTGCTCGTCTATCAATCTAGAGGCTGTTAGTTCGAATTCTACAGCCGGAATTTTCAATAAAAAAAAATGGTTTGAGTACCGGTGAGTATATTGGAGAGACAAAACGTCCTCTACATGTACGACTTGATGGACATCAAAAAACATACGCAAAGACGTGAAACAATGAAGTCAGTCACAATAAAGTGTGGTCTAAACACCACAACATAAAATGGTTGGAAGCCCGAGTTGTCAACAAAGAACCCTATTGGAAAAAACGCAAATTTAAAGAGGTCGTATTCATATCTTGCAATAATAAAATATTTAGCAAACCAATCACTTATTAGAATGAATCACTTGCTAGTTAAATAATGTTTTTTTTCATAGCAACTGTTAAACTTGCCTTATATCTATCAAAAATAGTAGATAAAATAGTACTTGAACTGCAAGGGTAGATTAAATGATACTTTAACAGCGAGGATAGGTTAAAAACTTTATTTTTTCTCGCGCGTTTTTTAATTGACCCTTTTCATTTTTGAAAATTTTTGTATTGCTTTTCATAAGTTATTCGGGATTTAAATGGAAGTAGTTTGAATATGGCGTTTGTCGCCTCAACCTGAATATCTGTTGGTAATTTACTTATTTCGTTTTGAGCCATTTCTGGCTACAATTCAATCAGCAATCGACACGAAAGAGAATTAAAAAATATTGACTCAAAACTGACAACTAAAGAGACAGCTTTATTTATGTGTCAAATTACACAGAAACCAACGCCAACCCAGCACAATATTTTTTCTACTCGTAATAAATTCCTTGAAATAATAATTTCTGAATATTTTTTAAAACGTAACTCGCTATAATATATTATATACAATTTATATACAGGCTTTATTTATGCGCGGCCAATATAAAATAGAACTGTTCTCTCTGTTTAAGAGAAACTGAATAGGCAACCAAATATATACAAACTTGTTACCAAAATAGATGGAAACTTCAAATCAGAGAACGAAACACGAATAGAAACAAACATAATAGATATATATTATATATTTCAAATAACATTAATTTTTGTTTTAAACAAATGTAATATTTCAAAATATAGGTTTTGAAGATTTTACCCAAATATATTTAACAAAAACTGTAAAAATTCGGATACTCGGCGTTTTTTTTATTCTTTGTTTTATTAAAGAAAACTTGTCAGTTAAGAGACGACTGTAAATACTTATTTATATAAATTATATGAATTTTATTAATTATATTCTAATACCGAAACTATAAAAAGTTTCACAGATAGTGAGTTTTGGGGAATTGGTTATCAAATTTTAAAGAAATTAATAATAAATAATAATTAAATTTTTAACATTGTATTTGTTGTATACAAAATTCTTTCAACTATGTTCAACATAAGACTCTATAATACTTAACTCCAGCATAAAGATCTAAATAATTTGAACAGATCTTATTTATAAAAATGTTGAATTAAAAACTAAATTAGTTTACAGAAAATCAAATATTTTTTTTATAAATTAAAAAATCTAGCTTAAATCTTTATACTTATATTACTGATCAAGACATTCTAAACAAGCTAAGTCTGACACTTCCTCATAATGATATCCACAGTCGTCCTTATCTAATAATCCGTTTGAATTTATCGAATGCGTCGTGTTTTTGCCATTATTTCTTCCATTCGATAAGGACCCATTTGCGCATGCTTTAGCTGCACAAAAATGGTCCAATGCCAAGACCAAGGCCGTTCAGGAATAACAGTCCTGAAATTGAATCATAGTTAATAATGTCCAAAGTTTCCGTTTTTTATGTAAAGGATATTTTAAAGTGTAATATTATAATCTTTCTTTGCTTTAATTGGTGATCGGTTTGAAAATACTACTAAAGTTAGCTATTTTTGGAAATGTCTCGCAAACAATATTTGTTTGGCAGTGAGATATTTTTTATAAATTTATATCTATTTACTAATCTACTTAAGTTTTCATAAATGATTAATGTTCATATATGTTGTTGAATAGATATGATTGGATTGTTTTTAGTTTTTAGTTAAGAAAAAAACATAATTTCTTGACAATATGGCAACATAGGTAGTAGATTAAATTTACAAGAAAGAAAACACAGAAAAGATCTAGCGGTTCTCAAAATTTAAGCAAAAAAAAAGTTTTTTTTTCGAAATTTTCAAAGTAAAATACCTCGGAAAAACGGTAAAGAGAAAATACTAGAATACTCTTTTTTACTGTATTCGATAGAAAATGACACTCTAAATGTAATGACATATTATATGTCAACTTTTTACATTTTCCCTTAAAACAAAATTGTATTTTAAAATTCAATCTAGAGTGCCATAGCTGTGTTAAAAACACTAATTTTTAATCAAGGAACCTTGGGAAAAAATAGATTTAATCGTCTAATGTCTAATGTTTGTCGTGTCTTGTACTGGCCGGTTAAAAGATGCTCAATTCATATTTTTAATCATATACCTAGTATGTATCTCAATTTTTTTCAAATGGAATAAGGGTGGCTCATTAGCATATCTCAAAAAGGCATTTTTTACGAATAATTTGGTACCACCCACTTGTATTTCGAGTCAAATTGTCGTTATGAATCGTATGTTGCAATTTCAAATAAACCATATTCGAAAATGTCAAAAGTTGACATATTATGATATGTCATTCTATTCAGAGTGTTATTTTCTATCGAATAAAGTAACAAAATACCGAGGGGCTATTTAAAAATCAAAAGTTATAGTCATTTCCGGTGAAACAGTAAGTGACCAAAAACAATTGAATACACCAATCAATCCTAATTTATGTCATGTACTAACATACCAAATCTCGTTTTTTTTTATCTGAAAAAAATAAAAAGTTATAGGGGCGAGCCACTTTTGAGACGCATCCATTATAGGGGTGAGCCATCCAAATTGTATATATTATGTTTTTAACCAAAAATTTTAAAAAATCCTTTTTAAAAAAATTAATTTTATTTTTCAGAAACTATTTGAGACAGAGTTTACCAAAAATGCTTTTTATATCTACTAGTGGGTAAATGAATTTGTAGATATATTACGACTTTTCTTGGAACTTTAGTTTCGGAGATATAAATTTAATCGGACCTTTTTAAAAAAAATAATTTTATTTTTCAGAAACTCTTTGAGACAGAGTTTACCAAAAATGCTTTTTATATCTTCTAGTGCGTAAATGAATTTGTAGATATATTACGACTTTTCTTGGAACTTTAGTTTCGGAGATATAAATTTAATCGGACCTTTTTAAAAAAATTAATTTTATTTTTCAGAAACTATTTGAGACAGAGTTTACCAAAAATGCTCTTTATATCTACTAAAGGGTAAATGAATTTGTAGATATATTACGACTTTTCTTGGAACTTTAGTTTCGCAGATATAAATTTAATCGGACATTTTTAAAAAAATTAATTTTATTTTTCAGAAACTATTTGAGACAGAGTTTACCAAAAATGCTTTTTATATCTACTAGTGGGCAAATGAATTTGTAGATATATTACGACTTTTCTTGGAACTTTCGGAGATATACATTTAATCGGACCTTGTTAAGAAAACGTTTTTTTTCTGGGGTTCAAATAATATACTATCCCTAAAAATATTTGCACTCGTCGAGTCTTAATCGCTCTATATAGGCTGTGGTAAAGGTTAATGTATAAATCACATAATATAAATTGCAGTCCCAATTTTTAAACAGACAGGTACAAGAATATTAATTGCAAAGTTTATTTTATTTATTATGCAAATCTATACTTCGAGATCTACTAGCACTGAAAATATTTGCACTTATTAAACTACTCTCCCTGTATATTTTTATAATGCAAATTGCCATTTTTGTACCTTATTTATAAACAAGAAATCCGATAAAACAGACGAAAATGAGACACCCTATACAACGCATAAAGTAAAGGTAAAATATGATCGTCAGCGTCAAGTGTAGGGGGCAGCTTAAAAAATTATATATAATACTTGTTAAAATCATTTGTTATAAAGTTCTACTATCTTTTTTGTTGAACATACGATGAATACACTAAATTATAAATGTATTAATTTCGGGAGACGATAATGCAATTTTATCGTCGTGTATAAAACAATATTTTTTTCCATAGCGAGTTACGTGTTAAAAAATATTCAGAAATTATTATTTCATGGAATTTATTATGAGTAGAAAAAATATTGTGCTGGGTTGGCGTTGGTTTCTATGTAATTTGGCAAATAAATAAAGCTGTCTCTTTAGTTGTCAGTTTTGAGTCAATATTTTTTAATTCTCTTTCGTGTCGATTGCTGATTGAATTGGAATCAGAAATGGCTCAAAACGAAATAAGTAAATTACCTACAGATATTCAGGCTAAACGTCATATCCAAACTACTTCCATTTAAATCTCGAACAACTTATGGAAAGGAATACAAAAATTTTCAAAAATGGAAGCAATTAAAAAACGTGCGTGAAGAAATAAAGTTTTTAACCTATCCTCGCTGTTAAAGTATTATTTAATCTACTCTTGCAGTTAAAGTACTATTTTATCTACTATTTTTGATAGATATAAGGTAATTTTAACAGTTCTTATGGAAAAAAGTAAAAGAATACAAAAGGACTGCTGGCTTATAGCAGATTTCATATTGACGTCTGATCTCGGGTCGAAGCCTTAGACATTTTCGGCCTTGGCCAAGGTCCTCCCCTCGTTTTACTTTTGCTCTCCTTGGGTATAGAAGCATCCCGCAATGTGACGTCTGCCACAACACACACTTGCACTCACACACTCATTTAAGCATTTACTTAGAAAAATCGCTTTTTAAACGCACGTCAATCCCAGCTTCAATATGATTATTTACAAAAAGAATATGGACGTTTGAAGCTTCGGTGAACAATCGCCGTATTGGTTGCTGACTTTTAAAATGACGATTGTTTACAATGGTAATAATATTTACAATAAAACAATAGCGCATTATTTGATGTAACTACATTTATATAGGTAAGTAAGTTAATTATAATATTATAAAATATATTTTTTATTTCGTAATTTTGGTTAGAATTCAATAGATTTTTCTGATCTTTAAAACATTGCTTTTGTCAATGTTGATAAGCATTAATTAGAATAAATTAATTTTATATAGGTTAAAAAAGGAAAATAGTAAATATTTTTTATATTTACAAAACGTATTGGTCAAAATTTTAATTAACTTTATTAATAGTTTTATTTAATTAGGTCATATTAATATTATTATTCTTTTTTAATTTCGATTTACAAATTGATGAATATGACAGTATTACTGCATTTCATTACGTCACTAATCGTAAATATAATAGCTGTAACATAATTATTAGCGATATATGAACCCTTTTAGAATGCCCTGATAAGCATACAGGATTTCTTCACACATCTCGTTCGATGTTATTTTTTAGAATTAAATTTAGATAGAAATCAGAATGTGCATGCATCCTCTTTAAAATATATTATATTTCTTGCTACTTCCGATTTAACAGGAAATGGCTACCTATTCGTATAAAAAATATTTTTAGAATTTTAAATAGAACTCTAATTCTTGTAGTATAAAATAGATAGATTTTATTTAAAATAAGCAAACCACAAAATAGCATTTTACTAAAAGGACAATACTAACATGCAAATATCTCGAAATATATTACATTTAAGCATAGATAACACTCAGATAGCTATTTAATATATGAACACTCAGATACAAAAAAAAACGCAACCGAACATTAAGTTTAAAGTGTTTTCATGATTTTTTAGCAAACTGTATATCGTCTGTGAAATGTGATAAACTGCTAAACTCTATTATTCCTAATTTTACAGGAGAGCAAAAAAACGGTACAAAAAAATATGTATACATGTAGGAAGAATTTTCATGCATTAATATGATAAAGAAATAAGCATTTTATTTGCTGGGGAACAATAAAACTCAATATTTCATGTTACTTAATTTTTAAATAGAGACACAATACACATGCAGAAATAAGACATAAAATTATATTTCTGAAGATAGCAACCTTTATATTTTGAAAATGGAATTGAATATTACCCAAACAGATTTAGAAATAATCAATTAAATTTAAAAAATATGATATTCGTAACTATATACATATTTATCATATCGTCGCACGGTGGGGTATTAGCATGAAAAAGGTGAGCGAAATTCGAAAAAGCAAATGTGTTTAAGATTTCACAAAAAAAGATAAATGATAAGTTAAATCATCTCTGCCATGAATGGCGGGTGTGTTTAGTTGCATTCATTTGTTTTTTTTCTCGAAACGTCAAAGTTGTTACTTCTCACAGATAAGAGGTAAATGGCTAAATTTTATGTTTAAAATTATAAATCGTTGTTGTTCTTGTGCTCTTTTTATCGTTTTGATTGAAAATGGCTCAGCAAGCTGCAGGTATGTATTCTACAAAAACGTATTATTTATTTTGATATTCTCTATACTAACGATATTATTTGCAACTAAAAGTTAGGCGTTCAGAAAATTTGATTAAATTTGTGACATTTTTATTATACTTAGAGATTTAGTTGCGCATTTCGAAGAATTCAGCATATTGTCTATATTCGTTTTACTTAGTAAACATTGGGCTTTCATACAGTAAAATAAAATACTGCGACTTTTTGCGATTTTGCTGATAAAATGAGAAAAACATTCTTGGTTTCCTCTAATTTGCCAATCAGTGATATACTAATGCGAGGTGTAAACCGCGATGGCATTGTTGTGTACAAAGCGATCGCATTAGTGCCATTAGCAGTATAGCACAATTTGGCATTAGTAGCGGCTTTAGTGGTATGGGCATTGCTCGCGGATCAGCGTAGCATTAGTAGTAGTAGTTGCGATATTACTACTGGCACTGACCGTGGAAACACTGGAACAGTGATTTTTCTTTCTTTTTTTAGAATCGACGAATTATCCTTTATTTTGTTCATATTATTTCCTCTTTAATTGAAAATAGCAATAATTTATATAAGGTCTACATAAAAAAATTTCGATCAACTATCAGTGTCAAATACCCCACTGTGCGTCGGTCTAGAACCAAAACATACAAGTCCAAAAACGAATAAATTTTTAATGCATTTTTAAAGAACTGAACTTTTGGACTTAATGAATATGAAAATAATTTAAAAATTTAACTTATAATTCTTTCACTTGTAGAATCCTTCCATGCTTACCCTATTTTTTTACAACGGTAGTAGTCCGAGCTTGGAAAACAGTGCGGTCATTATAGAATGAAAACAGCGCGATTTTATTAAATTTTTATTACTTTTCTCCTTATTTTTTTAATTTTTATAAAGATTATGTATCATTTACATGGATAAACGTTGAAAAAAATAAAACTGATTAGGTATTATGGAAATTCTTGTACAAGTAAGGCATGGCCGATGAATTGCTCGTATATAGAGAATTTCGTTTTTTCCCTTACCCTTTACGGATACCCCGTATTTACAGAACGGAGCGACGCAGGGTCGGGCTGGCCATATTATATACTACATATATATATAACTATTAGGGGGGCTCCAGCCTTCGCGGGCCCCCTTTATAGTACATTATTTATTCTTAACAATATTTCCTTTTGCATTGCATTGGTTTACCTTGCATTAGGGTAGTTTCCCGATTTCTATACAGAGTGAGTCTTAAATAAGTGCAGATATTTTCAGGGCTAGTAAAACTCGATAAAAGAAACATAATATTTTCTCTTTACCGTTTTTTTTAATAAATCCAAAACAACCGGGTTATTTCACTTTTAAAATTTCCAATTTTTTGCTAAAATTTTGAGAACCAGTCGATTTTCTTTCTTGTAAATTTAATCTACTACCAATGTTGCCATATTACAAACAAAGTATGTTTTTAAACTAAAAATTAAAAAAAAATTCAAAAATTTTATTAAAAAAATTCCAAATATTCAAAAAAAAAATTCGCCCAAAAAAAATCATAATCGTGTTTCTTGGGTCGAAATATACTACCCCTAAAAATATTTGCACTTATTTAAGACTCACCCTGTATATAATAGGGAAAAATTGACCAAAACCTAAGGCGAAAAAATACGCAAAAAAATCCACACGGGCCCCTCCTTACATTGCCACCCGGGCCCCTTTGGCCTAGTGCGACTCTGGATCGTTGTACTAAAGAAACATACGAGTAAGAATCCGTGTATTTACTTTAGCGTGATCGTAACGGAAATTAGGGAGATAGCAGCATTTCGGTGTTTATTTCACATCTCTGGGAGTTAGCAGATATTATTGAGTTAAAATAGCAATTTTTTTTAATGGGAAAAAATGCATTTGCTTTCCCTACTTATAGAGTATTTTTTTCTCTTTCTAATCATATAAAAAAAATATTAACATAAAAAATGGAATTAGCAGGTTATCACGTTTCACTGACGATATAAATCTGTCAACTTTAATTTATAAACTCAGTTTTTTATAAACTTTAGTATTTGGCTTATTATACAGGGTTAATCGAAGGGTTGTTTTTTAACTTAATTTTAAAACACCCTTTGCAATAATTTCGTGAGTAACTTTTCGTAAAACATTATTTTTCAGTCAGAACCATATATCTACTGAATATTTTGTTTTTTGACTCATGTCAACACATGCTTTTGTTTAATTTTTAAGAACGAAGTGAACTTGCCAGCAACAATTTGCAATTTTTTCAACTATCATTACTTCATGATGTTATTTTCGAATATCACGATGTAGTTTGGTGACTATTGTCGTAATGTCATATTGACACTGATTAGAACACTATATTAAAATTTAAAAAACCTTAAAACGTAACGATACAGGCTTGGTTTTAGTAAGTATTAGTAACACTAACAGAACTAAGGATATTAAAAAAACTGTAATAACACTGTAAGTGTACAAACACCAAAAAACTTGTAAAAAATACTCTAATAATTTATATTGCCTCCTTCTGCTGTTAAAACTGTCTGTAGACGTCCATTCATACCGTTAATGACGCTACAAATATATTGCCTTATGTTTTTCTATTATTAGTATTTTAATAAAGCACGCTTTTAGATGTTTCAAAAAACTTTTAATAAGAGTAACTTTAACTCTACATATATGTTTCGGCTTGTTAGGCCTTTTTCAAGAGTTTTTTAAGAACTAATCGTCTAACTACACTGTAACTTTATATATATTTGCTATGGGGGTGGGTTCAGAGAGTTTACAATAGGGGTAATAAAAAATGTGTTTAGAAATCCTTGTTGGTCGTTAACATTATTTTCGTTTTTAACAGATTTTAGTATTTCTAACTGTTCAATGTAATTTAAGCGTCTACCTTTTGTTTCTCTGTGTAGTAACTTAATTGAGTTTTCATTAATTTTGTGATTATTTACTATACAATGAGTTGCAAGACCAGAACTATGCTGGAGATTATAATATACTTTACATGTTCTTTAATCCTTATATCTAAATTTCTACCTGTTTGGCCTATGTACACGGCATCACAGTATTGCAATCCACCCTATATACACCCGACTTATTTTTGACATTAGTTTTGTCTTTATTATTTAATAAAATTTGACCTAAATTTCTTTTATTTACGTTAATAGTTTTACATCCTATTTTATTGAGATTATTTGATATTTTGTTAGTTAAATTAGGAATGTAGTTTAAAGGTTGATAATTGTTATTGTCTTTAGAATTAGCGGATTAAAAATTTTTCATTAATATTTTGTTTTGTTTTTTCTTTAGCATATTATCAATAAGGGAACACTTATATCCATTGTTGATGGCGATCTGTTTAATAATATTTAACTCTTTTTTAAAATTCTCTGGGCTCAGTGGAAACATTACTAATCTATGAATTAAACTATGAAAGGGTGACATTTTGATTTGCCAGGATTGGTGTGATTGACTATGTATTACAGTGTCTGTGGTAGTGGGTTTCCTGTAAATATCAAATTGTAATCTATTAGACTGTTTTATAATTGTAACATCAAGAAAATTGATGGTATTAATACCTTTT